GGTTAAGAAGCATCCGGCCAGAAACTGGAGGTGGTGAGTTCTAATTCTGTCTTAAGCAAAAGTCTACTGAGTGACCTTGGACCAGGAAAGAAGGAATAGCAAATCACTTTTGAAAACCTAAGAAAACTGCAGGGACCTTCTCCAGGCAGCCTCTGAGAAATAGACATGATTGGATAGAAGAAGAAAAAAATGCAGTGTTTTAAATTATGCAGGGCACCATCTGGTATTTGACAGAAAATCTGACCACAGAACCCCCCTCTGATTTTTTTAAAGGGAGATTTTAATTTAAAAATAATGCTTATGATATAAGGAAAATATTTCCCACTTAGTGATCTCATGCAAGTAACGACATATCAATTGAGGTATAAACTCAGCAACAAGAATAAAATAATTTTATCCTCTTAACTTTGTTTAATATGATATAAACAAAGAGGGATAACTTTCATTTTGTGAATCAACCTTGAATGTTAATATTTTTTTTACCTCTAATTAATTTTCTAATTTAAACGTGTGCGTACATACATATAGTTATAAAATGACTTTCACTCCTCATTTCCTCCAAATTGTAGAAGCTTATGTTTCAGTATAGCTCTCATCCACATCCACTGCTTCAGTGATGAAAATAACTTCATCCTATGATGTATTATCAAGGAATACATGAAAATTTCTGAATAACTATATCAAAATCAGTACTAGAACAGTACTTTTCAAACAAAATGTCAGTCTGTGTTTGTAAAAATGGTTTTGTAGCAGTGAAGTTAAGATGCCTACATAAATCTATAGTTTCTAAATTCCACAGCCATACTAATTCTTATGTTTGTAGCATCCCTAGGGATTTAGAAAAAATATATAAAGAAATTAAAGAGCCATAATGTCTTATTGCTAGCATTCATGATGTAATATAGAAAAATGACATTATTTCAAGTGCTTGTGTATAAAATATTTTAATAGGATGCCACTTCCTTGAAATAAATAGAAACAGCTGGCCCTCTTAAAGAATACAACTATTTTGGGGCAAATTATACAATACATTATTTTGCACATGCAAATTAAATTGTGGTTAATGGCAAAGGACTCAAAAGACCAACCTTGAATATTGAAGACAGGAGACTACATTCAACAAATTATTGGGAGTGATTATGCATTTACCTTAGAAAATACATCAAGGTTTTACCACTGTTACTTAAAATGTTCTTGGTTATGTTGACTGCAGAGTCCAGCCCCCTATTGACATGATTGGAGAAATGCAATACTAAATTATTCTAATTGGGCAACTTTGGAAGAGCTTTAGACTAATATAAAATATATAAATATATAATATAAATATATAATATAAAGCTGTTTGGTTTTCATTGTTTTATAGTCCATGCTGTCCAAATTAATACTACATTTTTGAGCAAAAATATTTAAAGCCTCAAAAAGAAAATACACTCCATTTGGCCAATTATTAGGACAGGAGACACATTAGGAATGGCCTTGATCCGTGTGTGGGAGTTATTTGGGCCTCAGCAACCTCTCAGATGGGCAACAGAAAACCAGATGACCACAAGATGGCACCAAAGAAAAACTGAAAATCTTATTTGCTGCCACCTAGTGATCCTCCCAATACTGGTATTTGCAGTTAGGCAGAGAAGAACAGCAAACCGCCTGAATCTTGGTAGCTGATGCAGAAATGATACTGGGTGGAGGTATAGGTAGAGTCCCTGGTTTTGTAGCCCTGTTCTTGGTTATGGTGTGTGGGCTGCTAAAATCCGTACCATTTAGCAGAGAGGCAGGCAAGTCAGTGGGTTGACATCTAGTGGTCACCCGTAGTTTTGCAGCCCGGATGTGGGCTCACCTCGCTACAATCCGGAGGTTTCAATGTGCGGGTGGCAAGGGAGAACCGGGGTCACCTTGCCTGCGGATGCCAAGGCCTTCGCTGCTTTTCCTCTCCATCGCTGCAAAGAATCATTTATGCCGGCCTGACTTCCCTTTGCAAAACAGTGATGGTTCAAGCGAGAGAGAAAAAGTTATTTGCGAGCTCCTCTTTTCGGAACCACCTCTCACACCCACGCTTATTCAAGATGATTTTTATTACTACGTGTCACTCCAAACAGAACGACATCCTTTTCTTACACGGGCTTAAACAGCATTAACAAAAGGAGAAGGGAGTTAGCGTTACCCCTTGGTAGCCTCAGCCCAATCTTTCTCTTTGGAGCAACTTCAGTCCCAGAGCTTAAAGGAAGTTCTCAGTCTCGGAAACGCAGCGCCCAGGAAAAGGTTTTAAAAATAAACCCCCCTTGGCTGCTTTTCGAGTTTCCGATTCGCAGAGCCTTAAAATAGCCCGGCCCACTCTCAGGCTGTTGCTTCCCCGTCTTCTCAGCGCAATGGAGCAGGCACCGCCGGGGCAAACTGGGCGCTTCTTGCGATTGCTATTTTCGGAGCATCCCAAGCCTGTTGCGTCAATGGCACCGTCCCCTTGCGTCACGCGCCACCCCGCCCCTCTTCCCCCCCCCTTTCCCTCCTCCCAACTCTCACTTTTTCCTTTTCGTGCGCTTCAGCCCACGGGCGGCGGCGGCGGCGGCGGCTGACGCGGCTGCTCTCATGCTAATGAGCCCGAGCTTTCCTCCTCCCAGCCCTCTGGCAGCCTCTCGACGGGCCAGCAGCCGGAGGAGGAGGAGGAGGAGGACTTAAGGTGGCCGCTCAGGGTTCTTCCCGCCTTCGTTGCCAATCTTTGTCCCTAAAAAAACCAAACCAAAACAAATAAAAACAAACCAACCCAGCCAGCCCCGCCCCTCTATTTATATGATTCCTAAAAATAGCCCGGTGGTGATGGTGGTGGTGGTGGTGGTGGGGAGACAGTTCCCTTCTGGGAGGGAATCCCATTGACTCAAGGCGTTCTTCGAAAGTTCAGGGACATTTTTGGAAGAGACGGAAATCCTAATGGATTGGCTCAATTTACAAAGAGAAGCGCTCCGGAAGGGGAGCCGAGGCAAGCCAAAGAGGCTTGCCCCCAAATAAACTCGGAGATTAAAAGTCTCTCTTGAAGGCTGCGCTTGCTTGGAAACAAGCCCCTGTGCACGTTCGGCGGGGTTTGCTTTGAAACCAACCCGCGCAGGACCTATTACCTTCACGGAACCACTATGGGGAGTGGGGGAGGGCGGGTGTGTGTGTGTGTGTGTGTAGCAGTGCATTCCTAGACCTCTGTGGCGTGCATGCCCCATTAACCCCAACGACGGCTCCATGCCTATGGAGAGTCTCGGTCATCCAGGTCATGGTTGTCCCAAGGGTGCTTTTTGCTTTTTCAAGGGGCAAGCCTTCCATTCCCCACCACCCAGTCAGAGCTGAAGAAGCTTCTTGGGTGAGAAGCGAAACGTCTTCAAAGAAAACAAACAAACCAGAAAGTCCAGTTGCCTCTTGAAAAAAAAAAAAAAAGCATCTTTGGGACCCAATGACAGCTCTGACTGAACATCTACTCACCTTCTGAAGTTACCTTCCGCGTCCTCGGTTAATCCTTTTGTCCCTTCACCTGCAAGATCTCCAATCGGCGGCCAAAGCAAGTTCGGGTGGGGGTGGGGGCAAATTTTCTCCGTTTAACACGCTGAGGGTGGACACGCGTGGGCGGGGGGGAGGGAAGGGGGACAAGGGCAAAGGCGCGCCTGCCTAAAGCCCCCTAATCCGCAGGCTGTTGGGAAAGGGTCGCGGGAACACGCACCCCCCCCCCCCGTTCCTTCCCTCCAGCGCCCGCGGCCGGTCCGTCGATTACCTGCGTGGGCTGCAACGTCCACGCGGGAAACAGAACATAAGGAGGCATCCCAGCGACGTTTCCCACCGAGGCAGCAAAAGGATCCTTGGGGCTTCTCTGCTTTTCCTGCCCATCTACACGGAAGTAACTCCCACTGGTTCCGTCGAGGATTCACCCCAGATCAGAGCGCTCGGAATAGCAGCACTACCTCCCTTGTAAGCGGTTCCTTCTGGGTGGCAGCGATTCTGACCCACGTGCACGCCTTGGACTTTGACCATTAACTTATTTCTTACTCGGCTGCAGAAACGGGACTGTATGCAATTTGGTTGTATGCTTATAAAATAACAAAATACTAATATTTAGAATCTAGTTTATATGTTTGTCCTGAGGGCACGCCGCGGCACACGCACGCACACACACACACACACACAGTCTTTCCCCCTCCAAATATAATAGCACCCGTGGGCGTTTTTTTAAGCAGTTGAAGCGCAACGGGGGGAGAGGGGGAAAGCGGCAGAAGTATGCTTCGGGACGTAAATCGGTTCGGGAACGATTGTGCAACTTGTTGAATGCGTTGTCTCTGCTTTAAAAGGATGGACTGGTTGCGTCAATACATTCCTGCCTTTTTACCTGTAAAGTGCCTTCTGCAGAGAGGACCGCCGAGATAAGGTGGTACATGGAAGGGACGGGCAAGAAGTCGCAGTTCTAGACAGATGAAAGATAGGTGGACATCCCACGTAAATTGCCCCCGGATGATTGTAACGTTCCTTCTTGAAAGCGAACGTACCTGGAAAACACACACCGGTTCCGCTTGGTGAGAAAGTATAATGTGGAAAAAAAAAAGAGGGAGGGGGCAGAGCGCGCGATGGATTGACAGCGCCTAGAGATTCTTGGACCACTTTATGACAACCGGGGGTGGGCGGGAGGGGGGAGAGAAAGGGAGTATTTATTCAGTCTTTGTTTACGGCCTCGGATCTCCGGTTGCACCAGCCCAGACCTGGGAAAGGAGAAGGAAAAAGGGTGGAGGAGGATCTGGGCAAAAGCTGCGCCAAGGTGAAGGCAAAGCAGTGAGAGCCGTTTCCCACCTTAAAAGCGCCACTCTTGGTGATGTCACGTCGGAAATTTACCAAAGCAAGATCTAGCCAACTGTACCGAGAGATCCAGCCCCTTGACTGGCTGATTGGGCAAGGCGGCACTGACGTGCACTGACGTTTGAAGACTTGGGATGCATTTGGCTGTGCAATACAGAACCCACATAAACAAAGGCACATTGGAGGGAAGGGCCAGTCTGTCCTGCTTTGCTCGCCCCGCGCTTCGCTCGTCCTGTACTTCCCTTCAGGAGCGAAAAGGGAGAGCGTGGGTCCGCGCGCCGGCGGAGGCGAGGGGAAGGCGAAAGGAAAAGCGAGAACGAAGCGAGCGGCGGCGAGAAGCGCCTCTCCGCTTCCTTCCTTCCTTCGCCCGCTCGCCCCGAGAATCCGAACTGCCAACAGTTGCATGAATGAATGAATGAATGAATGAAAGAGACACGCCACCTAACAAGTAAGTGGATCGCGCCGTTGACTGCGACAAGGAGAAATATATTCTGTCTTTGGGCTGGATGATTGCAACCTCCTCCCCCCCCCTCCCCCGTCTTCAGGAAAAGTAAAGTAGCCCGGAGATGGGATGGAGTGGGGGGGTGGGTGAGAAGGGTGGGGGGAGGATTGGGACCGGGGAAGATCGCGCTTGCCAGATATAAAATATTAACCCCACCCACCGCCGCCCCGTGCAGGCTTATCCCAAATGCACCTCTTGTGAAAGAGCCTCGCCTAGCGGCCTTCGGATCCGGAGACCTTCCCAACAGCCCACCTCGCAACTTCCATCCCCCCCCCCCCCAAAGTGTGGATTTTCCGACAGAAGGCCGGAAGAGGAAACTTTTGAGCGCAGCTCCTGCGCTTGGGTTTTCGGGGCTCAGGGTTTTCGGTTCCAGCCCGTGGAAGAGGTCCGCGGAGGGACTTCAATCGCAGGAAGAAGGCGGGGAGGGGGGGAAGTTGTTGGGCGGAGGATTTGGGTTACTTGGGAACACTTTTGATCTCCGTCAGCGACAAGGTCTGAGCGCAGGCAGGACCAGCGCTCGGTCCTGGAGCCACACGCTCCCTTTTCAAGGTTGATTGCCGGCGGAGGTGGGCAGAACTGCAATAAATGACTCCAGAGCACGTCGCCTAATAGCGGGGCCGGCCGGCCTACCTGCCTGATGTAGGTGGGAGGCAGGAAAGAAGGAAAACCGGCCTAGCTAGCAGGTTGTAGAGAGTGAGAGGGATTGTTGGCTTCGAGCGGAGTTTGAATGAAGGGGCACCAAGACTTCGGAGTAAGAAGCCAAGAGGAGTCCGCCGAGAGAGGCTAGCTGAGCAGCCCAAGTATGAAACTTCCCAGGGTTGGCTACTTCTCCGCTTGAGAAAGCTGTTCTGGGGAGGGGGGGGGGCGGGCGATATCGGAGGGATGCAATCATTGGAAAAGCCCCCGGAAAAAACCGATTTGCGTCAGTTCCGAAGGGGATCCGGAAGAGATGGCAGAAGCGTTCCCTTCTCCCGTTTCAGTCCTAGCTGCCTTACTTTGCCCCGCGCATCCTTCGGGACCCCTCCAGCTCTCCCCGCGCGCAGCTCGGCTTCGCTGCTTTCTCTGTCCCTTTGAATTGCCTTTACGCCTTTGTGCGCGCGCGTGCGAGCGGCTGCCGGCTCTCATTCAAGGCCGTTTCTGCCGCTCTGCGGCCCCCCCCCGCCCCTTTGAAGGTTTGGAAGCCGAAGGTAGTGGCGGAATGTCGAGGGGAAACGGGAGCGTGGGACACCCCCCCCACTCTTTCTCCTGCCCCCACCTCCGCTCCTCTCCCGTCGCGCTTCTCGTCCTTAGCCCGCGCCACTTGACAGCCCGCTCGCCGTGGGAGAGGAGTGAGCCCAATGGGCATGGCAAACGCGCGTTTGTGAGGCTTGCGGGAGCTGTCGAGTGTAAAAAAGAGTTTGCTGGGAGCGCGCATCTCTGCGGGCAGATGCGTGTGGACAAGCTATTAGGGAGCGAGGGGGGTGGGGTTAGGGGAGATAACTTGAAGGTCTGAATACTTTCGTTGCACCAGGAAGGGGGTCTATAGCGAAACGGCAAAGCAAAGGGTTTCTTTTTTCTTTTTCCCCATTTCCATCCAGCGGAAGATAAGCTCTCTGCCTATAGCGGCTTTTGGGAGGCTGTACTCCCAGCTCTCCTAGCCACCTCTGGGCCTGGCAGAAGGAGGCATTTTGTGGCGCCCGCTAGTCCCCGTTACCTCCGCGATCCAGGTGAGGCTGAAAAAAAAAAGTAACCCCTTTCCCTCTCCGCACCTTGCCCGTCTATGTTTTTTCAGGGAGCAACCGGACAGGCTGGAGTCCTCGGCGCCTCGCTCAAGTCTTGGCAACTTGTCTCTCCATTGACTTCCGACGCTGTCTGCCTTCAATTCTCCCGAAAACGCCACTCACGCGGCTGAAGGTGGGTGACGCGGGTTGACCCTTTCCTCACCTGTCCCCCCACCCTCCCACCCCACCCCCCACCCTCTCCGCCCCTCCGTCAACCAGGAAATCAAACTCTCTTCAACGCGGAGAAAGCGGCCTCTTGCCTTTAGCCGGAGTTGGGCTGGCGGAACTCAGGAGAGAAAGAAAGTACATGTGCCCGGGCGGGTGGAGAGGAGGAGGGGGCCGTTGCTGGGCTCCGCTCTCCGCAGCTCTAACGCGGGCAGCAGCTCAGCATCCCATCTAGCCTCCCTTGTCCTTGGCAGCGGGGGCATCGCTTTCTGCTTAGAAGACACCCCCGGTCTCCTCCCCCACCGACGTTGAACAGAGCTCGCTCGCTGCTGTCTCTCCCCTCCCTCTGTTAGAAAGCCCTGCTTGCCCACGGTCCTCCCTTCTCTTCGGCTCGCGTTTTTACCTCCACCGCTTGTGCCACCCTGTCCTCTCTCTCTCTCTCGTCTCCCCGTCCCATTCCCTGGCATCTTCCTCCCCTGCTGGCTCGGCCTCTTGGTGGGGAAGGGTGGGCGGGGGGCGGGCGGGCGGGCGGGCGGACGAGGAATGGGATTGTTGCCCAGGAAAGCTGAGCCATGCTCTTGTTGTGCCGTGTTTCGTTTGCAGCCATGCCCTGCGTCCAGGCTCAGTACGGGTCCTCGCCACAAGGAGCCAGCCCGGCCACGCAGAGCTACTCGTACCACCACTCGGCGGCTGCCGGGGAATACAGCTCGGACTTCTTAACTCCCGAGTTTGTCAAGTTTAGCATGGACCTGACCAACACTGAAATCACTGCCACCACTTCTCTCCCCAGCTTCAGTACCTTTATGGACAACTACGGCGCCGCTGCCGCCGCCGCCGCGGGTTACGACGTCAAGCCGCCCTGCCTCTACCAAATGCCGTCGCAGCCCCCGCCGCCCCCGCCACCGGCGCCCTCCATCAAGGTCGAGGAGCTGCCCCTGCACGGCCACGGCTACCCGCCGCCGCCGCCGCCGCCGCCCCCCGCCGCCGCCGGCGGGCCCCAGGCGCCTGATGAGCTGGCCGTCTACTACAAACCCTGCGCCTCGCCGCCCACCCCGGCCGCTGGTTTCGCGCCGGGTCAGAGCGTTTGGGACGAGGCCGGGCCGCTGCACGGCTTCCATCACCACCACCACCACCACCACCAGGCTTACGGTGGGACGGCAGGAGGAGCGGCTGGCGGCGGAGGCGGCGGCGTGCATAAGGCAGCCCCGACGGCGGTGCCGCGTCTCTCGCTTTTCTCCTTCAAGCAATCGCCGCCCGGCATGCCGGTGGGCAGCTGCCAGATGCGCTTTGACGGGCCCCTGCATGCCCTACCGCTCAACGGGGAGCCCTCGGCCCACGGGCCTGGCGCCCACCACCACCACCACCATCACCACCACCACCACGACGGGCAGCCTTTCGCTCTGCCCAACCCGATCCGCAAGCAGGCCAGTGCCGCCGCCGCCGTCGGGTTCCCCGGACTGCAGATCGGGCACGCCTCCCAGCTCCTGGATGCCCAGGTGCCTTCGCCGCCTTCGCGGGGCTCGCCCTCCAACGAGGGGCTGTGCGCCGTCTGCGGAGACAACGCCGCCTGCCAGCACTACGGCGTGCGCACCTGCGAGGGCTGCAAAGGCTTCTTTAAGGTGAGCCGAGGCTCGTGCTGCCTCCTGGGCGTGAGTCTCGTGTGTGCGTGTGTGTGTGTATCTGTCTGTCTGTCTCCCCGATGCCAACTGCTATGCCGCTGACCTCCCATCCCTCCGTCCATCTCCTTCACTGTCTCCCTTTATCTTCCAAGTTCCTGCCTCTGCTGAGTAGAAACTAACTCGCTTCTTCAGACTAGGGTCTTGAGGTTGGGCGCGTCGAAGAAAAGAACAGGATCTCTATTTGGGGGTCTAGTCTTAACCCCCTTCCTGCCTCCAGATCTTAGCTGAGTTCAGAATGATCAAGGGGTCTTAGATCAAAATCCACACGTACTTACCGGGTTTTTAGTTCATAGGGAAAGACAAAGCTCGAGAAGAGGGAAGCCAGTGGGGTGTTCATCTTATGAAACGCCATATATTCACCGCCCGTTTGTTAGGCTGTTTCTCATCTAATCCTTTAAAATAGTTCGGACTCCTTGTACTAGATGGGAATATGCCAGTTCACCACAGGGGAAAAAAAAAAAAGAAACCCTCAGCTTTATTGTTCTGATCTAGATTTGAGGCCTAGCTATTCTTGCTTTATTATGAATAACATTGCATTCCCATGACCCTCCCTCCCCCAAATGACACAGCCCTTCCTTTTACCCACGTTCTCCCTGCCCCTAGATATGGGATGGAGATAAAAGTGGAGCAGAAGAGGAACTGGGCGCTTTAGCGGAGGAATTCCTCTGCATCCTTTTCCGAGCCTTGTGGGGAAAGAAAGGACGTTCGAAGGAACCGGGAATCGCTTTTTTTTTTTTTTTTTATTCCCTCGGAGCTTTGAAGCTCGGAAGAGAAAGTGCCACAATGCCCCCCGGTTCTCTTTCTCTTCCTTTCTCCCTCATACCCCAACCCCACGGCCCAAGAGGCTTTTTAAATGCGCTGGTTTATACTAGGCCTATTCCCTAAGCTATTACTTCACAAAAACGACCTGCGATGGAGGACGAGTTGTTGAAGTGTTGCCCTTTTCCTGATCTCCCCAACCTTTCTCTCTGTCAGTTCCAGTCCCACCAGAGGGTGGTGATGGAGGAGGAGGGGGGGCTTGTCCTGTCTCTGTAGGAACTGAGCTGCGCGAGGTGGGTGGGGTGGGGTACGTGTCTTTTTTGCAAATCCATTTGCCTTAGGACTGGTTAGAACAGAGAACTCCGTCTTAGCTAATAAAGTAGACCCGCCATCCCGATGGTCGAATTAAATTGTTTCTCTATTCCCCCACCCCCATCCCACCCGTAACTTCCTCACTGAGTAACCGCATCCTTGAACACAAAAGGGAGTTTAAAAAACAAAAAACAAAAAACCCTCATAGAAATAGCTTGGATTTGAGTCCTTCAGCTTCTAGCAGGCTCCCCAGAGGGTGCTGGGCGAGCCCGCTCCCCAGTTTTTTTGCGTGTGTTAGTGGACCTGGGAAAAGAGAGACCGCCGGAGCGAGAGAGGAAGAAGAAAAAGGGACCTTCTCAGCCCGCCAAGCGCCTCAAACTCGGACCGCCTTCCGGGGCTCCGCTCCGCTCAATTCCGCTCCTCCTCACCTCTCCTCCCCCCCCCCCCCCACCCTCTTTCTCTCCCCTGTCTCTGCAGCGCACCGTCCAGAAAAACGCCAAATACGTTTGTTTAGCGAACAAGAACTGCCCCGTGGACAAACGCCGTCGGAACCGGTGCCAGTACTGTCGTTTTCAGAAGTGCCTTGCGGTCGGCATGGTCAAAGAAGGTAGAGCCTGCTGTTGGGGTGGCCACAAGCCTAGGCGGAGCAGGCAGCCTCCCCAGGCGCGGCGAGAGGAGGCGCGGCGAAGTTCCCGCTGAGCTTCCGCGGGCGGGCTTCTTCCAGACCCTCGGGGGTGCCCAGGGCTCCCCTCCCCACTCCCTAGAGCTCCCACGGGCTCATCTTCAGAGCATCAACCCTCGGGGGGAGTGGCAGGAGGCGAAGGCCTGGGCTAGACCCGGACTAGACCTAAGCTACCCTTTCCTGAGCAAAGAGGCGCTTGCGGGGGTGCCTTAGGTTTAACCTGAAAGGGGTTCCAGGAGCAAGGCAGATTGGGCTTAGGCGGAGGAACCGCCAGGAGGGTTTGCTCTCGCACCTGTTTTTTTCTAACCTCGTTTCTGAAAAGCCAGCCTCGTGTTTGGAGCCAGACCTCCTCGAAACTGAGCTCCGTAGGAGCCAAAGGAAGTCCGGAAAAATAGTACACGATTAAGCAGCCCCCAATTCTCCTTGGAAACCTTTTCTCTGGGCTGATAGATTCAGCCACGAAGTTTTGACCCCCAGTAGAAAAGTGGGACGTTCAATGTTGTGGGTGGTGGGTGGGAAGGGTGCATATTTCTTCTCCGCCTGGCGGGGCGACCGGGGGGCCGTTCTCTGAGTGGGGGCGTCTTGTCTTTTTCAGTGGTTCGCACAGACAGCTTAAAAGGCCGAAGGGGTCGTTTGCCCTCCAAACCGAAGAGCCCCCAGGAACCTCCTCCCCCTTCGCCCCCGGTGAGTCTGATCAGTGCCCTGGTGAGAGCTCATGTCGACTCCAACCCGGCTATGACCAGCCTGGACTATTCCAGGGTAAGCTGGAGACAATATTTGCCTACGGGGGTCCCCCTCGCGGGCCACCAAATGAAATCCGCTTAGTCCTCCCGAGGAAGGGTCGTTTCTCCCTTCCACACCACCCATTTGATGTGATTGCGCAGACACCTCCAAGGGGTTGGTGTCCCAGAGGGCTCGGAGAATCCCTGGGCGAGAATTGGGTGTGGATGTGTATGCACGTGTGCCTGCTGAAGCGGGGAAGGGGAAGCAGATGCAGATTGCAACTCTGTCTCTCTCCATATATATATACACTTCTCTGTGGGCTGTGGGCTAATAGCGCAAATTTGCAAATAGCGTTTCCTGCTACTTAAATGTATATAGGATTGTTTTGTTCCATACTAGAAGTTATTTCCCCCTGCCAGTAATTGAAGCAATGCTTAAGTTTGAAAAGAAGATGTTCCCCATTCAGACATGTTTGGGAAATGAAAGCAGTTTGAGAAAGATTAAACTCTGGGCAGGACACTCCCAAAGGAGATGGCCAGAGCACCTGCCTCCTGGAAACTAACCTTCAGCTCCTTATTACAAGGATGTGGGTTTGGTTTTTACCCCCCCTCTCTTCTGCCTTATGGGACACACACCATAGGAATCAAGTAAGGAGAGAAAGTCACCTCTTTTGCAAGGCTCCCTGTTGCTCCCTTTTCAAGGCTCAGTTGCTCCCTTCTGACAGTAGAACCACATGCGAAGGTACATTTTTAATCCATAAGAAATGAAATATGATAGAGAGCCATGATAGGCGTTTGTGCTGAATGCGTTTCACATGTTTGTATCGTGTGTATGGATGGATGGGCAGATTTCCCTCCCCCTTATTTCATTAGCACATTTTCCCATTCCCCCACCCCACCCCACCCCCAAATTGACTTTCCAGAAGCTAAGCCAAACCCTGGAATTTTTGTTTCGGGGGCGGGGTGTGTGTCTTTCTAGAGTGTTTAAAGTTGGCCCTTCCTCTTGGCCACAGCCATTTCAACTCTCCGGAGTGGCCATCCCTCCTAGCGCCACCCTAATTGAATTAATTGCCATGGGATATCTAATTTCTTCACTGGCCAGAGCAGAGGTTTAATTGTTATAAAAACTTGGCTCCCCTCCTCGGAAATGGGGTTAGCAATTTCACGGGCTGTAGATTTCAGAGAGCCTCATTAAATTGCTGGGGTCTTTCTCTTACTTCCCTCCCGCTTCCCTCTCTCCCCTCTCCCATCTTCCTTGCTGTGGAATCCCAGTTCCAAGCAAACCCAGATTATCAGATGACCGGCGATGACACGCAGCACATCCAGCAGTTTTATGACCTCTTAACTGGTTCCATGGATATTATCCGGGGCTGGGCAGAAAAAATCCCCAGCTTCACTGACCTTCCCAAACAAGACCAAGATCTGCTGTTTGAATCTGCCTTCCTGGAGCTTTTCGTCCTGCGGCTAGCCTACAGGTAAGTAGGAAGTGCTCTCTCTCTCTCTCCAAGTTGAAGGTCACCTGCCAAGTGTACACTTGGATGTGCAGGCCTGTGGGGTACATGTGTCCATATGTGCACACCCAAACACATCACCCTTGCGATCCTTGTGATGAGCAAACCTGCGCCGTTCAAGGTCCGCTGAGCTGCGTTTTTATTAACTCCTCAGTAATTAGGTCCCTCTTAAGCCTTCCATTTATTGCTTGGTGAATAATTAGTTGTTTGCCTTCCTCTATTCCGCCCCCCCTCCCCTTTTCTGGCTGCCCTGTAAATCCCCCCCTACCCTCCGCAGGTCAAACCCCGTGGAAGGGAAGCTCATTTTTTGCAACGGCGTGGTCCTGCACCGCCTACAATGTGTCCGTGGGTTCGGGGAATGGATCGATTCCATTGTGGAGTTCTCTTCCAGCCTGCAGAATATGAACATCGATATCTCTGCCTTCTCCTGCATCGCTGCCCTAGCCATGGTGACAGGTGAGAGACCCAGCTTCTGGCTCTTCCTCTTTATTCTGATCACCCAGGGGCGTTTTATTTCAGGTTAAGGGATCTGGAATAAGTAACCAGTTTCTCCATCTTGGAGATGAGTATAGATTATTATTATTATTATTATTATTATTATTATTATTATTATTATTAT